TGTGACTGATTCAGGGGCGAAGTCCATAAAAGATAAGGTACTAGATGACAAAAGACAGTGGGACTCCCTGTGTCAACTAATAGGGGTCCAAGCTAAACCAGTCAGTATGATACGTCTCCTCCGTCACCCAAACTCCGTACACTACGGTGAACCGCGGTTACTCCAGATAACACTTCAGTTAGGTAATGATGTATAGGCAGTTCTTATGTCAGCCACTCGACTCCGTACCACCACATGTACTGTTCGAATATTTCCAGGTCTTCCTTGCAGTGGACGCCAGAAAAGCAAACAAAATCCGGATGACTTCCGTAGACATCAAGACGCGAAATCTATCCTTGTTCACGGTGTCCCCGAGCTCCAGTAGATAAGCGAGCTAGAGGGCAAAGCGTATGACTGGGATGAATGGCGTTTTATTCGTGATGTGCTCACTCTGGAAAGTCTTATCACTAATTCGACATCAAGGTTACCGCTATCATCTAACTACAAAGGGTGTGGTCCCCGAGTGATGAAAGTATCATTGCACTCCGAACTGATGGCAGAACATGTAATCAAAATGTGGCACAAAGAGCGTAAAATGCTGCCATCCGAAATACGTACAAAGGCAAGAGGCACCGGGCCACAGATAGACAGTGCAACACTGAGCAAGTAATTTACCAACACAATTCTGTTACCGTGTAGCTCAGAACGGAAACAATGCCAAAATACACCGACAACTGAAGGAGGACAGCATGGTCACCGGGAACTAGCATTCACAAACACGCTTCTGACCACCGATGTCCTTACCTGTTTGTATACCGATGCATAAGGTCTCAGCAAGTGACTTGAACTTCGTATTCGTCAGGTCTCCACCCCTTGGGACCTAGTTATGGTCACCGAAACTTGGCTGAACACGGAGTTCACCGATGCTGAGACTGTACTACCCGGCATGACTTCCAAACGAAACGATCGACGTAGCAGAGGAGGGGGAGTGCTCCTGTATTATGGATCCGACCTACATGTTTATATCATTGAGGACCTAGAAACGAAAGTCGTCGATTCTCTTTGGTGTCGTGTGCACCTGAGATGTGGTGATGTGTGTTTGCCAGCAATAGTTTACCGCCCTCCAATTTCCACCTTGGAAATGGGTCAGTGCTTAGCTTCTGCGATGAAACGAGTCCTGGCACGACCATACAGTCACATCCTTCTGGTGGAGGACTTCAACCTGAACGCAATCGAAGTTCCAGCATCTCAAAGCGAACAATTCAAGGCGGATTTGCAAGAGGTGATCGCCGATGTACTTCTGTACAACTATGGCACCTGCAACGCGATTTCGAACGGGTAACACACCCTCTCTTTTGGACTTTGTGCTCTCTAGCGAGGAACTAATAGTCGACACCGTGACCATAGATGCACCACTTGGCCGTAGCTATCAAGCGATGTTGCTCTTCTGTTAGATATGCTACTCGGAGTACATCAGTGAAAACAATGTGGAACCCTATATCGTTACACATTACGATTTGCTGCTCAAGTTCGTTCAAGAAACCAACCGGTCCTTCCTGGCCGAGAAGCCGCCCGATGTTGCCTGGATGTTGTTCCTCGCCCCATTCACTGAGCTAGTGTCAAATGCGTCAGAAAGCAAGGTCCTTCGCCCGAAGCAAACGAATTCGTTCCTGAGGAGCCGTACTAGAAAATACGTGGCCTTAAGGGATTCAGCCTGGCGCGCTTACAAATTCTGTCCAAGTAACCTGACCTTGGGTGCTAACACAACTCAACGAAACCATCGCGTCACGTTGATCTGCGAAGACAAACTCCTACACCAACAGAACTTAGCGGCGAAATTCAGTATAAATCCCTGGTTGCTGTATAGACATGTCAACAAGCTCCGCAGATTGCAGCGCGGGATCCCGCTTTTAGGTGCAGCAGATGGTCTTGCGCAAACCGCACAAGATGCAGTCAACGTGCTTCGTCAACACTTCATCCATATTTTCCGGAGCGAATCATCATTTCACCCGCTTTTTATGCAGCTTCCATCACCACCAGTGTTAAACTACGTATCCTTCACGGCAGCTAATCTGATGAAAATGCTAATGTCATTGCGCTTGAACAGCTCACCTGGCGTGGATGACATCAAACGGAAGGCCTTGAAGACAGCGACTATGAACCTTGCCGAACCATTAGCTCGGTTCTTTCAAGGTTGTCTCGACGAAATGCAGGTTCCAACAATGTAGAAACATGGATTAGTCACTCCTATTTACAAAAGTGGTAATCGTTCGGAGCCATCGAACTACCGTCCAATCACTCTCCTCCCACTTTTATCCAAAGTAATGGAACGTGTAATTGCTGGAACGCTCGTGGTATATCTTGAGAGCAACAACATCCTAGTGTCATAACAAAAACACGGATTCTGCCGAAATTGCTCGTGCACTACAAACTTGCTGCTAGTCCGAGCAAGCTGGATAGAGTCAGCCAATGCCAGAGTGGGAGTGGATGTTGTCCACCTGGACTTCTCGAAAGCGTTCGATCGTTTGGAACACCGCATTCTCCTGCACAAAATTCGAAGCTATGTAATCGGTGACCCTATACTCGGTTGGATCGGTAACTTCGTCACACGAAGTCAGCTGAATGTGACAGTCCGCAGCTCCATTTCCGACCCAAGTGACGTCCACTTTGACGTACCAAAAGGATCGGTACTGAAGCCACGTTTATTCCTCGCATGCATAAACGATCTTGCCAGTGTACTGCAGTCGAACTTCTTACTATTTTCAGATGATGTCAACGTTTGGCATGACATCAGGACATCGGATGATCACATGGCATTGCAGAACGATCTCGACAGGGCTTATGCGTGGTCATCCGACAACCGGCCCCAGTTCAACGTGACCAAGTGCAAAGTCGTAAGCATACGCCGTCAGCTTATCTATGAAAATCGACTTGGGGACCAGCAGTTACAACGTGCTTCCCAAGAAAACGACCTTGGGGTGATCGTGCAGGACGACCTTGGTTGCTCGAGACAAGCTGAAAAGTATCAAAAAGAGCCAGTCAACATCTTGGACTCTTACGGAAGGCATTCGGCACTTTTGAGCCACCAGTTTTTCCCCAAATGCTGAACGCTTACGTGACGTCTCATGTGGAATATGCGATCCAGGCCTGGCGTCCCTGGCGCAAGCGCGAAGTCGATGCACTTGAAGCTCCACAACGTAGAGCGACCAAACTCGATAGAGGATTGTTTCATCTCTCTTACCAACGCAGACCGCACTCCCTGAGATTGTACAGTGGTGAATATCGGCGTTAGCAAGGAGACCTAATCATGGTTTACTTAATACTGACGAACCCAACTCACCCATGTCGTAATCTGTTGCAGCTGAGCCGAAATACCAACCGGAGAGGTCATCAGCTCAAACTGGCTACGCACGAAACGTTTTTCTCCGTCTGGAATGCCCTTCCGGCTCATGTTATCCTTGCCTCTATATTAACGCTTTTCAAAATTCGCCTTGATGAAGCGCTTTCAAACTTGAATTACTTAATACAGTCTTTTCCACTTGGAGGACAAATTACGTAAACCTAACAATAGACTTAACGGCACTCTCCACAACGTGGTGGTGAGGATACATGCAGAAGCGTCCATGTGATTAGCCTGGATGTAGCTAATCTGGATTAACATACCATATCTGTCAAATGAAGAAACAAACGAGTGAGCGTTCTCTTTTCCGTTTTTATTTCTCACGCACATTCCGAACTATAACAGATCTCTATACTATTCCCACTGCAGACTATGGTTATGCAGTGGTGCATTTAAATCGGTGGACGCTTGAAATAACGATTTACTTATTCGATGATCCTACAGATTTTAATTTCTACTCCAACCATCCTACGGGACTTGTCAAGCACATGCTATTTTACTCGTGATAAGTCATTGTTCATGGTTCAGATATTTTAAAAGTTACATGAGAAGGATAACCATATTCACGGCTGACAATTTTTATAGTTTTTCACCATATTTCGAAAGAGTTTACAGAATTCATTTCTACTTGCTCTATAATACAGTGTTCAGTATCAATTACAGAGATGTCTAGGTGGTAACACATTCCACTAACGGTAGCACTTTTAACTTGAATGTTGTCGCAAAGACCTTGTACTTTTGAGAGTCGTTGGTGGTTGGCATTTCCCCATGACCCGATGAGCGGTCGCATGGTGCATGCACGTGACTTGTAAACGTCACATACCTGGCACTTATCATGACATGAAGCAACAAGTAAGCCGGAGCAAGTTGTCAATTTCCAGGTAAACTGGCTGGCGGCATCCGGTTGTGCACAGCCACACGAGGCCTGTGCCGACACAGGGATCATGAATGGCTTGCACTGCACCACCCACAGCTCCATCCACACACCCCACATCCAGTGTAAACCCGAAGGAATAAGACCGGGAGGCACGTTCCATCAACAGAGCCGGCCCACACTACTTCAACATGCACAGCAACAGCATTCCTGATTATCTAAGTAGTGAATCATGCATACCAGACGTACACAAGGCGGTGGATGGTCCGTAGTCCAGGTAAACTGCAACCTTAACCAATATAGATGCTGAAAAGGACGATAGTCTTTCTGAGCAGTATTGTAGAAAGTTGGATGGCACTAAAAATAGAATTACTCATAAATGGATCCAGCCATACGATAGCGTACTTCAGTGGAGACTGAGCTGCGCTGTAGTACAATCCGTCAGTCATGTTCACCGTCACCGTTTCAGTGGTTTGACTCACCAGCGATTCTAGTCCCGCACAGAGACGACGGAATGCGCACTACATTCACGATAGGATGAAACCATCATGTGGTGCATCTCTGGCGACTGGTTGTGCTAACTACAATTCGAATAGAACATTTGCGTTTCTACCTACATCACACAAACGGAGCCCGTTACACATTAATACCTGAGTTAATCCGATTACTTGTCCACTGAGGTTAATGCTCCTCTTGTTCTGTCCGCTGCTTCCTAGTACTTACTCAAGCCCCATTTTCAGGACTCACCTCTTTGGCTTTCGATTCCAACACAACTCGTTCTGTCAACCAAGCCTCCTGTTCGCCTTCATACTGCTCCTTTAGACTGCGGTAACGGCGTTGGTAATCGAGCATGTGATTTTGTAATGACTCGTTCTGAAGCTTCAATTCCATATTTGTTCGATTCAGTGAGGCAATGTGTTCGTTCAAAAGGTTTATCTTGGTGGTCGTCTGTTGTGCTGCAATAGCTTTGGCATAAGCATTTCCAGTGGGCAGGCCAACGAGACCACCAGTAGACTCCTGAAATTAGAACACAGACACATAATAAGCTAAATTCAACTCAGATCACTTGATTGACACGCTTCTCTAATCATAAGTGGAATCTGCACTGTAAGTCTCAACAAATGCAGAAAACAATGCGAAAAACAATGCGCAACCTGAAAGAGGTTGAAAAGAAGCAAGAAACTAATATTCATCTGTAATCATAGCATCCAGAACCAACAACCCCATGAAATTGACCTCGCAATGGTTCATGGTGACAATTGTACTGTACTTTAACAGCACATTCAACAGGGCTGTCTAGCATGTAAAGCAACACTACCATTTTACATTTTGTGACCCGGTGTACCATTCGGAGTTGAAACTCAGACGCAGTGCATGCACAGCCCATAGTAACTGATATCCCGATGTTTTAACGTCTCATGTGTCTTTTGAGTAACTTCCAAACTCCGGAATTTGTATTTGGACCCAGAGCAGGTAACAACAAATCTGTTGCGATTTGGTCAAGATCATCCTGATTACACAAAGCATAGTGACCTAAACAAGAATCTGTCGCATGCCTTCTGATCCGAAAGCTTGTCCGTTTTTGATTGGATGCAAAACCCGGATTCAGTAGAGCAATATGGAATCGTTGCGTGATCGATCAATCGATCATAACTCGAGTTATGACAGTGCGGTCTTCTCATTTTTCTACTCATGTAAAAACAGCATTTTTATTGGCAACCCACTGAGACATTTACTGGTGATAAACTGCTGCAAATGCACTCATTTGGCTACATAAAGCTTATACTGACTTGACTTTACTCGAAAACTCCACTAACAGAGTAGCTTCAACTTTAGTTGCATGTAATGCATGTCCTTGCGTCACCACTTCATTGTTCACATTCATGATCTAAGTGTAAGAACCACAGACTTTTGTTTGTATCTACTCGGGAGAGCGGCGTTGGTCGTCTTGAAGCGTCCTTAAGTTCATGTCATCTCCGAGCTCACCCGCAACCCATATCCCCATATGCTTTGTTGGTTCACATCATTTAAGTTGAATTTTCGTATTCGGACTGGTTTAATTTCAATCAAAAAGGGACGAGGACCGCTGCAGTCACCAAGTCACTTTTGACCCTACGGTATGGACCACGCAAACAATCAGGCGAATCCACATAACTCAAATCCTTAGCCAAATATTTTTAACCGTCATACAACAAAAGTAACGATGTTGAGGTCAGAGTCTGACCTTCTTCTGTTGCTCATAGGCAGCCTGCTGCTTTTCCAGTTTGATTCGTAGATGTTTAATTTCATCCAGTAGATCGTCCCGTTCCCGGCGTATCAGCGATAATTCTCGTCTCAGCCTGTCAACTTCGGCACTACGCCTACTCAGCGTTCCATCGCGGCCAGCTGAGTTGTCTGACAAACCGATTCCGCTTTCCTGTGAGCTAGCTGATCGATCACCTGGTCGCATGCTACCGCTGGCTTCCCTCATTTGGGATTGCAACTTGGCATATTCTTGTTCTTTGATCATGAGGCTAAAAAGGAATGGGAGTACATGATTTCAAGAATTATTTTGTTTTGCCAATCCCTAAGTGGTTTGAAATTTACCTTTCTCAAATCATGCACACGTTCAGTCAAAATTCATGACTTAACGACAGTGTGCGGCTAACCCTTATACTAGCACTAGTTTAGGAGCATATAAGGTTTAGTGCAGAGACTTCGGTAATAACATCGAGTGTTCAAGCATGCTTCTCATTCTTAATGTACGACCACACCTCGCTAAACAAATCATTATCATCATCATTATACACATTAGTTAAAGGTTGGAGACACCTCAGCTACTGTGCCGCAATACATAAAAGCAAAAAAGAACGACAAGACTCAACAGATGCTTGCCAACTGACATACCGTTAACGGTTGGGCATCATTCCGGAAAGCTAGCAGCCGGCTATTGTACAGCGAAAAACATTTTATTAGGCAAAATTCTATTATGCTAAGAAATGAGATCGTGGTTAGAGGGTGAGGCTAAGAGGGATGGGGATGGACAAAGAAACTCTCAGCACGAATGCCAGTGAAGTCGGCTCCTATCCAAGTCAGAAAATGCATCCATCCAAACATGTTCATTGTCTTTCGGACCCCAACCAGGGAGTCAAGATGTTCCAACCGAGGCCAGTTTCGAAGTGAGGACCTTCATTCCTCTCGACCAAGTCATCGCTTGGCCGCCTCTCTTCTTCCATCCCCACCGCTGGCCCGCAAACAATGCACATAGCAGGAGCCGGTGGGCTGGCATGCGTAACACGTGGCCGAGCCATCGGAGCTTGGTGCGGGGATTAACGGTGCTGAACCGTTCCTTTCTTATCCTGTGCCGTAACATCGGTTGCTGACAGTGGCATGGCAGTTATTATCATTCTATTGGACATGCACAACGCCTTCAATGGTGTGCCGCATAAACCTTTGATATTCGTCCTGCACTTTAACCGAGCCAGAACCCAATGTTGAGCTGGTTTAAATCCTAGCTAGAAGATAGGATCCATAACGTTAAAATAGGCCAGCACCTCTCCTCCACGAGAGCTGTCTAAGGCAGTGCCTTTGGACCACTTACTCTCACTAATGTATATAAATACCATATGTGACTCCATCAAACATGGACGATCATACCACTTTGCGGATGATATTAAACTCATCTACTCATTTCCACCAGATAGCATTGACTCGGGCCTTAGGAACATACATGAGGACTTATCTGTGCTGAGCTTTTGGAGTAAAAATTGGTCCGTGAAATTCTCCGCTGAAAAATCGCAAGTGCTTCGGTATCGATGCTGCATACCTGACGGCTCCATCACCCTAGCAGGTACAAACATCCCAAACTCCTCTTCAGTTAGGGACGTTGGAGTAATATATTCCGCATAGCTGAACTTTTCCGAGCATGTCTCATATCGGATAGCGAAGGCAAGGCAATTGAAAGCTTATATCATTAAATCCTTTGTTCTACCTGAAGCGAGCCTGGAAATGTTTAAGATTATCGTGAGACATATGCTGGAGTACTGCACAATTATCCATAGCTACCTGCGTAGAACGGATCGAGTAGCTCTAGAAAACATTCAGCGTTCTTTCGCGAAACTCTTTATTGGCCGGGCCACCACCCTGAACTATGAAGACCACTGTCGCCGCCTTAAACTAGACCCTCTATGGCTGCGCCGCCTAAGAAATAATCTAGTTCTGTATTACAACATTATGCATCGCCGGGTGTACAAGACCGGGATAGATTGTAAATTGCAAAATTCCGCAACCTATCCCAGAAGAAATAGGGGTTACACACTACTCGTAAAAAAGGTGAATTCACAAATCCGCTCCAACTCCTTCCTGGTAAGGTATACTCACATATGGAACAAGTTACCATTGAATATACAGGCCAGTGAGAACCTAACCAAATTTAAAATGAACTTGGGAGTTTTTCTCAACATGCAGAACAGAATGAAAACATTCGGCCTTCAAGTGTCTAGAGATGTGTTAACTTCATCAGGTCCAATCAACATATGACCAATAATGCAAGTTCACCACATTCCAGAATATATTAACGGTATGCTCGAAAATACCACCCTTGAAGTCCCACTTGTAGGTAGAGAACCAAAATTGTGTATCTTTTAGTTTATCTCTCCTTCGCATATTGAAATATTAAGCTGTCCTATGGCATCTGGCTAATTTGCATCATCTAGTGGGTATTAAAAGGAGAAGTCAACTCATTAATAACGCTACAAGTTATTCTAAATGCTGCAATATTTTTTCACGCCCAACCAAATGGCATCCCACAGTGTCGCGAGACATGCTATTTGACTACTTATTTCGTTGATATTTCTACCCCTAATCCAACTATTTCATCTTATTCGCCTGTTATGCTGTTGGTCACGAGTGGGCCGATCTCCTGAAGCGATGGTTTGAAGCTTCAAAGCAACATGTATACTCATGCCAACGGACCCACTGGTGAATATAAAAGGTGTGCCAACATTAAAAAACAATCCAATCTGAGCTGCTGAAGTCAGACTTAGTGGTATATGACGCCAACCGATGGTCCCGGTCATCATGCAAGCAAAGAAAAACTATAAATGACGAAACGGCTGACTGGTTCGAGTAATTAGCTCACCAGAAAAGAAAACAATTGCCCAAATGATGAATAAAATCGGTAGTGGCCAACGTGCTTTTAAACCACACCGATACACGACCAGATGGGGCGTGGAGGCGCGGGTGAAAACTCTCGAGGGACTACCCGCATAGAAGCAGGTCCCCGGGAGATGGTTCCACGAATGACTGTATTACTTCATTAGTTTTTCTTTATCCTACTTCATTCTGTACTGAATCTGTTGTGCTCCTGGTTCCTAGTTACTTCACCTCTACCGTCCTACTGTCTTACCGATATTTCTCATTAGCTTATTCCTTAGATCATAGCCACGCTCTTAGTTGTGGTGCATTTCCTCTATATCTCTACACCGAATAGATAACTATTGCACATTTTCCTAATCATCCAGTCTTTGGCATTTTCTATACGACTACAAACCACTGAATAAGTACTGACTGCAGTGAATAGGCGCTTATTTCTTTGTCTACTTGTCCGTTTAATTCCCCTTTGTAAGATTGTTTACTGTGCATAGTCACGCACGCACTAACTATCCACCTACAAATGAAGGCTGAAAGGAATGCAACTGAGCTCACCAGCATTTCAACCATCCGGCAACCCAAAACACAACTTGATTAGTTCAACTCCATAATTAGACCAAGCAAAGTCTAGACACTACGCTAGGCCTTAAATACATACGAGGTGAGTACTGCCTCGATTATTCTGATAATGCAACTTGAGTTTGGTGATCCACTGGTGTTAACTTACTTCAGTCTTTTCCTTATTTTAGCAACTCTCTAACTTGCTACTCACAAATAGCTCCAACTGTATTACTCCGGTATTAAAGTAAGAATGTGCATTACTCATCTGATTTGGATTGGTGAATCTAACTGTTTCATCCTTTTCACACACCCGCCCCCCATCAAATCGCCGCCATCATGGCATCACCAAGCTGCAGCGAAAACAACCAAATGAGAATGCCCGCGAACTGGTAGCAAAAGGCGATAAAAGTACCAAATGAACATATTCGCAAAAACATCCTCATGGTAAGCCTGTAAAAACCCGAACAATTGACAGCCTTGCATGCCTGCGCATGTTGCAATGTAAATATAATCCGTTCGTTTGAGGGTTCGGTTTCTCGGTACCACGAGAAATATACCTTATTACTATTGTTATTATTATTAGTATTATTATTATAAACAAGGCGTCGAACACGCTCTTTGCTCACTCAGTGTTTCCAAAAGATGTGAGTCAAATTGCGAAGGCACCGGTGGTCGAACGCAACTAGCCTCTTTGTGTCGTCTGATCAAAGGGCCAGGTTTCACAACAGGACAGTAGGGTCAAACCTACTGCTGCATTGTGCACTCTACCCTTCAGGGCGAGAGTGATGTCACGCCGGCGCCAGAGGTGGCGAAGGTTAGCAAAGCGCCTCGAGCTTTTGCTATACCGTTCGTGATCACATCTTCAATCCCAATGGCACTGATACGACTTCCCATGTAGTTGGATTTTGAACGACTTCTAGCTGATCCCCACGCTTTTAGCTCTCTACAATCGCTGTGACGGTAAGATTGCCAAACTAGCTGGCATGTGTACTCTGTTAACGTCGCTGTGAACGTTTCGCACAGCATGAGAGTACAAGCAACTGATGTCAAGCCCAGCCAAGGGTCAACCAAAACCACTTAGTGTAATATTCGGCTTTCCGTTAACCATTTAATTCGCTTCCCGACGTAGTATATTTTGTGTCTCACTGTAGAATAGCAGGCTGACAATGCTTCAAGTTACTTCGTCAGGAAATCGAAGCCGTCAGCATGTACTGAGAAATATTACCACAGATAGTATTCAGCCTTATACACTGAAGAAGATATTTGGGCACGAGTATTTTTCTTCACAATCCAGAGCCTATTGTTTTGTGGTACGTAATCTGCTCCTCAGGAAACAGGCTGTCAAGATACGTAAAACAAATACAACGATTTAACATTAAGGAGACGAAGAATTTAGGGATTTGGTGTGTAGCTCACGCATTCTTCGTTTCTACCAACTGGCGTTCCAAATTCATCTTCTCCGTTTGAGCATTCTGACCAGCCAATCTGCTTTGACCCGCTTCTTCAGTGAGTTGGTGCAAACGCCTATTCAGATCGACAATGATTACGTCTTTCTCTTGCAACGTGACTTTGAGTTGGTCCATGTCATTGGACAGCTGCGTGAACTTCTCTTCATTTGCGGTAGCAGCTTGCTTCGTATCTTCGTATTTCAGCTTGAGCTCTAAAATCAGACATGGTTGATGGTTATGAAAAGATACGCTGAAATCTTCACTGCTCGACCCTGGATTCGTCTCAGAAAGAGCAACTGCAATCGCATGTTTCACTTGAGGAAGCGGAACTTATCGTAACCGGTAGTGCCGAAGGAGAGAGCGATGTCGGTAGCCATATACAACTGGTCAAATAGTGATAAACCACCACACGTCTTTGAGGATGTTCGGAGTTGTAATTAGGCACAATGGATAGAATCGTAAGAAATAGGGTTGAGAGGAAAAATTAGTAGTAACAATGCAATCGCCAGTTAATAAAGGAAGGATAGCAACAATCTCGTATGTTAAAAGTTCACCTGATATATTGTGTAATTAAGACACACCACTAAGATTATCTATCTGAGGCTGGATAAAGGAATAGACATTTAAAACTGCAGCATTCAGGTAAACAAAGTCTCCTCACAATATAGTTGGTTCTAAGTGCACTTACCGTTTAGTTGTCTGGACGTTTCATGCAGTTCAGCTCGGAGTTGCTCATTCTGTGCTATCTGAGCGCTCAGTCGACCGGAGGTACCAGATGATTCACGTGACTTCACCTGACTCGTTTCGCGCCTCGTTTGGTCCAACTGAAGCAGGGTATCAAATGGAACAATGACCAACCTGAGCTATTCAATACAGCACCTTGACGAGATAATTTTAGAGCAATTTAGTGAAGTAGGTGAATGACACATGCCCTACATGATAAGTATGCTGGAACAGACATATAACTCAAAAGCGACACCACAACGGACTGGAGGTTGAAACATTGTGAACCCTTTTAGGGTCATAAGCATTAGATTTTAACTGGTGTTCTTAGTTGTCTCTTTCAAGATGTACAATGTTAGGCATTATAATTAGCATATACTAATGAGACGCTGCAAAATTCAGAGACAGCATCCCGACTACTTTTGGGATAATCAGGTCACCGATTGTTACCAATGATACTGCAGGCACTATTGCTGATAATATTTGGACCATGTTAGCAGTCAACTCGGAGCTACTCATACAGGAGTTCGAATTCGCTATTCGCTACTAGTCAATGGAAAGCTCTGCTGCATGGTAGGAGACCCGAGGGTAGAAACGCGTCGGTTGTATATAAGCATAGCTTCAGTCATGGCCGTGCTACTAATACGTAAAGGCAGTAGTGCTCACCAGCCACAAAGCTTTGAACAAGAACTTACTTCTCGTTGCATTGCTTCTAGGTTTGCCTTCACGGCACGTAACTCGGCATTTCTCCTCTCGATTTCATCGTCTTGTTCAAAAATGGAATCTTCACGCAATTTTAATTCCTCCTGCAATTCCCGGTTGTCTTTGATAAGACGTTCACGAAGTTTTTCTGCTTGGTGCAGATTATCTCTCAGCTGAAAAGGTGCAATGGAAGTGGTAATCGTTTGAGTTGATTTTTGTATCGTGATCCACTGTGGTTTCTGATAAAAACAATAGCAACTTTACGGTTCCCTGGGATTCAGTTGTGCCCAATTTGAAGTGAAACCACTGGACTACTGTAAGTTTTCCGAAGGGTTGTCTTAGCCAGAGCACATCTATGGGCTGTCGTCTCTGCTCGCTTTGCCTACTAACTCATAAGAATGCGATCAGTGTGCAGCGGCAGCTGAATGAAAGGACATGCAGTCACCAGTGCAGCCGGGTGAGGAGGATCGCACCTACTCTGTACCTCATTCAAAAAACGACAAATCTATTTCCGCATGGTGGGGAAACTAGAAAAACTAAGATCGAAAAACTTTCTGCCCTATGCTTGCTATTGTACATGTCACAAGGTGTACCTTACTTGCCATGGGAATGGCAAGAACGCGGTGACCGGGCATTGGATGTCACATTAACTAATGGAAAACCCAATTTCGATGTTGTTTTGGGGGCACAAGATTGTCGCCTGTCCAGAAGGATGTGTTCTCCGTACTGAGCTTCGGCTCAGCACTTACTATGTACGTAACTATTCACCGGAGCGCATTGTACTACGTTCAGCGGATACAAAGCAGGGTCAAATATAGTCCACTGCATCAAAGCAGCATACGCAATGCCACATAGATAATCAGTAATCCAGTGTGCCTTGACCAATAAGTCGGGCAGCGATAGGTCGAGCCATCCACTCAGGTATCGGAAGCAATGCATAAGATCGTTGGTTAGAAGGTCACTGGCTAACCCGTGTTGATATAGTGAGAACGGATGGAGCCCACTTGATACATTAAATGGGGACAGCCAATTCGGCAACGGCGTCCATACACACACGCGCACACACACGCGCGCTCACGCGTATGTGACTGTACCTGAGTCCGGTCTAGGTGGAGAGATGGTGTGTGATATGCTAGATATCATGAAAGGTGATCACGGACAAGAAGGACCTGGATACCCAGATGCCATCGCAGTAAATTCAGTAGGTGATTGAATCGTAGGGGAATGCACATGGGAATGTACATTTTCAGCTTGTCCTTTTTAGTGATCATTATGATTCAAACGTTCGTCTACGGCAGTGCTAAGTCACTACAGCTTGACACTTAGGAGAAACAGCCATGAACCGGTGTTTTTGTGTTCTCTGTGCTTCACAAATGATCTGCAAGTTTCACCACCAAATGAGGTGGTGGTATCTGTTTGGCTGATTTGCGTCAATTTCGAGTAACATAGTTAGATGACGGTGCTTTTGTAAGCCTAGAAAATAGTCCGACTGGTGAATAAAGTCCATACGTGGTCCATCACGTAGTCTTAACCCGACTTGCAAAGTTGATGATGTGGGACATCGCAAAGCACCACCCCGTTTCCCTTAGTTGTCCCGGTGCCCCTCTGCACAACATTGAGGAGGGAACTGTGCTACTTGACTGGAAAACACCGAATTCCAAACCAAACATCCATTTTTTATTATCGACAAACATTTATCCGTTTTACCGGAACACTATAAGTAAGCATATTACTCACCTTGCGTCGCCGTGCTACTCGGTTAGAGGAGTTTGGCTGAAACTCACTCCCAAGTTGCAAACATGTGCAATGTGAATAGCTTCTTAGAGTTGTTAACAAAATGCTAATGAACTTCACTGTGTTTGTGATCAGAGAATAATAGCCGCATTTGCACTGTACCACTCACAATTTGCATCTCCTTCCGAGCGCTTTCGATCTCCTTTCGATAACTTGTAATTTCCACACTGGACTCAAGTTGCTGTAAGTAAGGCATAAGGCAAAATAAGTTATGAGAATTGGACACAATTAAGCCAAAGTGAATCCATTTTTGTTAACGAGTGTGTATTTTCAGGAATATGCGACAAGCCGACAGAATGGCCATAATTCTGGTTATGGCTAATACATTCAACTGGGGAAGTACATTAGACAGGGAGTGCTCAGTGTCCATTCCGAAAACCTACCTTATCACTGCCTGAGTCCTTTTCCATAAGCGCTCGAAGCGCGTCATTCATTTTTCGGGATTGCTCAATGCGACACTTGAGATCCGCTATCTGTTCATCTTTCGACTCGAGAATTTCATCTTTTTCTTCCAACTGTTAGAACAGATCAGGATTGCGTCACAACTCAATATTGCTGAAGTTTGTTGACAATGCGTTGCATTAAACCTCATTCAGACCTTTTAGAAACAAGTGGACTTCATATTGAGCACCAGTAAAATTTATTAGACCCGAAGTTTAACCACAGCTAAGTGTCCTGAGTGAAGTCATGAGGAGTGAAAGCTCTGTGGTAGTTAAGCCCATCCTTTCGGATTGCGTGCGCATCTTATTATAACTTACCTGATTTATGACGGACCCCATTTGCTAGAGCTCAGTCACGATAACGATACAAGAGCACACCATCTTAAGCTAGCAGAGCAACACAGTCGTTTGGAATATAGTCGGAATTTATTTTCTGTCTGTTTCCCACTTCGGAACATGACATCTATGATTCCTGGCTGTAAATGTTCAGGTAAACTTCAAACTTCATTTCGCTGCACCATCTTACACGACTCATTGCCCATGGCCAAACACCAGTGCATGTTCGAGATATCCCTGTCGTGGAACTTCTAGAATACTTCCAAGTTATTTCACATTTTGCACGTTTTTATCTGGTAAAATGGCTCATATAAAAGTCACATTTGTCATCATTCCCTATGGATTTACAGTGAGTTCACTGGTGAGAACTTACTTTTGCTGACGCCTTTCCCATAGTTTTTAATGTTCATCATGACAGTGTCACGTAACCTGTTACGCTTTAACTATCTACCCTTAATAAACCATTTTTCAATAGCGCCTTCATCTCACGAAGCATCGAAGCTTATTGAAACACAGACAGGAGCGCACATCCATGTCAGATGCAAAGATCACAGCCTATCCGTGAGTGATGCGAGTTGACGCATCAGTGAGTGACAAGATCTGAAAAAATGAAGTACTTGCATCATGAACACCTTTCAAAACAGTGTCTCGTTAGGTACATAGATAGTTTCCCTGGGAAGTGTTGTGGTGATGGCATCCGGATGAGACCCCTGTGTGATTCCTTAGGATGAAGGGATTTGGGCTTTACTAAGGTGATGTCAGCTAACCCGATGTCACAAATGCGTCGATCTTTGGGCCATGCGCTGGGATGACAAATCTATTTTGACAATGAGCTAAAAAAATGTGCCACGTTATCCGCATGTCTATTGCAGTCATCGAGGTAAGCACTGGATTCAACTTCTTGTTGCTGCCGACTAAAGCCAGCTAATCTGTGGCAGAAATTTAATACCTCTCTACCAATGACAATAAGTTGAGCAGTCTGATAAAAAACCTACAGCTTTGCCGTGGTATCATTTAGAAAATTGCAATATCTTAAAACAATGCGTGATCAGACCGCACAGTACAGGAAGTTGTTGATTCAGGTGAGTCATCAGAGGTACAGCATACAGCTCACCTCCTTCTTGAGTAAGTCCAGCTGTTTTGTTCGAAGCTGATTCTCTGCAGAGCCTGCGGGACCGATGCCTCCGTCATTGGTCATCTTGAGCAGATGCTGCTCTACTGCCTCTCGCAATCGACGTTCCTCTCTCAGCTGTTGTTCAAGGATGGTGATGCGCTCTCGGAGTTGACGCTAAATGGTGCAATAAGACCGACCAAGTTAGCATTGTTCAAAAAGAACCCGAAATAGTTCTGATGAAGAGACGTAACAGCAATTGTTTTCCAAAATGATCCCCGGAGTATTAGTAACTGGGTTGTATAGTGCAAAATCCCTGTCTGGGTCTAAAGCCTTCAGTCCAGTAATGAACTAATTCCACAGACACTTGTGTCTGCACAATGTGGTTGTTGGTATGTGTTAAATGTGTAGGGAATCGTAGCAACTCCAAAGTGGGTGCAGAGCATGCTGGTCAAGCAAATCAAAAGTCAACTATGTCTAGTTGCCATTTGAGATCAGTTCACTGGACACCACGGGTTTGAGGCATTCGGTAATTGGGTGGGTTAGCGGCGTTGCTGTGTTCACAGCGGTTACAAACCTCGTACTACCTGTACATGGGTCGGCGACGAGTGTGTGTACATTCAAATCATCCTTTCATCACTCACCTTGATTTCACTCGAATCTGACGTGGCTTTTGCATGTGGTCTGAAGACCTGGTCGTCTTCAGTGACATGACCCCGTTGTTCACCTCTCTGATTCTCTGCACATTCCTCCCACTGGGCAATTCCGAGCAACCTGGAGAGTAGTAGAGAAACAGGTTGCAATTTAGTCAAAGACGCGGTGAAATTTTTCACAAACGACTGCGACAAGCATGAACATCCCAACATGACGAGTCTTGTAGGTGAATATGAAAACAGGGGGTTGCAGGCTGAGAGAATGGAGGAATGGTAAATATCCTCACGCAGTCGGTTTGCTGGAGAATTGAAAAAGTCCTTTATTCCACTTATCCGGTAAACAAGGAGTAACTCGTCAAAATACATTAGTTCAATGGGAGGTCAGGCTGGCTCTGGACAATGATCCATGCATGTATTTATTGTACAGGACAGTAAGAAAAATGGACTTTTATTTACTTAATGCGTTGTTTGAACCAGTTCTACCTTCAGTCGTTAACTACTACTGTTGCTTTTGCAGGGTTTATGAACTGTTGATCATAGGATCAAAGCGGATGAGCGAAAGGTCTGATTCTCTTTTTTTACGTAAGTCTTTAATCTGTTGATGAAGGCCAGGCAGGCTCAAACTTCCACGTGACCGATGGCCAATGATTTGGATTGCTTACTCTTCTAGAGCGAGGATGTACAATGACCCGGCCATTAAGTGGGATGTTCGATGTTTTTCAGTGGTGTAACTAACGTAACATCATGGTACTCTAACCAGCTGTAGCTTAGAGCATATCATCCCATGGTCGGTGGACCACACCATTGGCTTGGAGCTGCCGATAAAGAATGTTTTCGGCCACATGCGGATAAGTTAACTGAGACTGAACAGCCAACTGACAATGGGTTGAGTGAAAATTTAAGAAGAACGGTGAAACATTTTAACGCTTTCCCGTGCGTATGTTTCAAAAGTATATGCCATCTTGGGATTTACGTTGGGTGTGCATAGCCAACGATATCTCACAGTGCTTTCCGCATAGAGGTAAAAGTACCCGGTGTTAAGCTCGCTGCTCCTAAACAACTAGAATTTTACCATTGAAACTCGATGGAAAATGCCGAAACGATGGGTTTCGTCTTGCACATCTGAATACAAAAGAAAATGTACAAAAATGCAACAAATTATAAGCAAAATATTTAATCGTCAGAGGTGAAGGCAAGTGAACGAAACGGATGCAAATACAAGTCTCATTATTTGTGATAAAAGATCGTTTCTGAGAAGGTCTCTAAAATCTGGAGTTGGCGGTGGGATCAGTCGCCTTTCTCCACAGAAACGAAATGTGTTCTGGTTAACCCGGTGGCAGAGATGCTATTCATAATCTATAGTGCGAAGCAGACAGCATCGACAGGTGCAAGCCGATGGGATAAATAAGGAAGCACCAAGCGGCTGTAGGTGATTTGTGTTGGAAGATCAACTCATAACACTACAAAAGTTTGGTTAGGTTATCCGTTTAGCAGAGGAGACTCCTCATGTTTCCCTGATGTTAGATGACGCTAACTTCAAGACGAGCAATCCTTTACCTGGCAAGCAGCAATTGAGCCCATGATGTCTAAACTCCTATCTGATATTGTGATTCACATGTCGGGCCCCACATTAGCCTTGATATATAAAAGGGTATGATAAATAGCCGCCAACAGCAGCATGTCTATTTGAAAGTCCTTGGAAAAGTACCATTGCATAGATTGTGCGCCGTACATATGGGGCATACCCTAATTTGTAGCATGACTGAGTAAACCGCAAACAAGCTGTCTCTCAGCTACCGTATTGACATCAAATCTAGATATTTGTAACTGTAGGATGCCGATAGTTTGTTGGCACCTTGACTTTGTTGGTTTGCATGTGTGCAAGTGCATACAGCAGCAGAACCAGCAAGGGCTCATCGACAACAGTTCGCTTGTAGTGTCAGGAGCGCGCGTCATTTTATGCCACACACAAAGATAGATCACATTTCATTCAGAAAGTAGCGCCATCCCGCTCACGGATGCGGATCCACTGAAACAGCAGAGGTTTTTAGACCTATACAAAAGCTTCAAATATATTAAATAAGTGATCCTATTCTGGGATGTATAAGTGTCCTTCTCCAAAGTCCCCTGAGTGCGACAGTGTGTAGCCTTTTGTTAGACCCGAGAAAAGTGCATTGAGATATCACACAAGCCTCGGCACTAGGCTCCTAGATATTCCTGATGCTTACAAACGATCTCGTGGGAGTTGTATGCTGGTAACATCAGGATTTGGCGGACCATCACGAAGGTAGACAAGCACATCTTACCGCATGATTCATTCAATAGGGCTTGAGAGTTGTCAGCTCAGAACATTCCCCAGTTCACAGTAGTCCAATGTGAAAATATTGAACATACACCAACGGACCACAAGAGTATAGATTAGGAGCAACTCGTTTACAGCGTGCTGCTTCAAGTGGCCTCCGCCATTAAAAGTGGGGAAAAAACGCAGCGACAATAGTCACTTCGCGCTCAGACTTCTTGATGAGGGAGCCTGAGTAGTTTGACCCTTTCGCAAGTGACGAGTCCATATGTAAGGCCCAATTGGGAATACGTCATACAAGTCTAACAACTGCTTTGCGAAATTACAACGAAAGCTAACCAAAGTCGTCGTGCACTTGATCCATCACCCTTAGATTGCAGGTTCTAGGACTATTTGGTGAACATGGTTATCATCCCTATCGCGGCTGATGATAGTTTATAAGATCCTTGCAGGTCGTCAGTTATTCGAAAACCGATCTCGTTGGGAGGCGGACGTTTAAAGTTGACCACATAGAATTGTTGTACGGAAGTCCGCCATACCTTTTCTCCCTCCAAGTGAACGAGACATAGGACACTACCTCGGTTCCTGACATTCCGGCCCCGAGGTCATCTGAAGCGTGCCCTCCTAGAGACCATAAATTTTGCTAAAATTACTTTATAGTTTTACTCGTTTATCTATAGATTTGATACTAGTTTAATTTTTCGTAGGTAATAAATCCACCGTTCCCTACTTATGGGCAGAAGGCTTTGGACTATTTTTATTACGTCGCATTCAGCTGATAATTACGATACCTTAAGTACCAAAGCGGAAAAGCACTAGACGGCCATTTCGCTCAAATGGGACTTGTCAGTGGTGCGCATCTCTCGGTACTCTTTCAGGGATCGAAGCACTGACGAGCCCCAATAGGGTGAAACGGTCGTCTGGTGTTTTTCCGGATTGGTAGTTGAGTCATATGAATTGTCGGCTGCTTGCGATGTACCATTGTGCATTTTTAGGTGCGCCTCACATGGCTCCTTTTGCTAATCTCAGCGCCTGCTTAGCTTAGTTTGTGTTTCCATGGCTGCGAAAAATGTGTACATATTTATGATGACGCTATAGACGAGGTTACTGGAGGTGTTAGAACCATAGAAACATAGGTTTCGAATGTATTAAACTAGCTGGTATGGCAAAAGCAGTATGTTAAATGATGTTTCGCTGTCTTTTACCTAGTAACACAGTCTTCAATTATGCTCACACCAGAAACGAGCAGTTTTGCATTAGAGAGCTATTTCATATTCACGAAACAGAAGACATTTGAGCGATTTGGGGAAAACAACTGAAACAATGGCGTATTACAGTTGAAAAATGCACATGATTAACAAGTCCCTTAGTATGAGCAGAATGAGAAACATAACGTGGTGCAAAGAAAATGGTTTTGGTGGACACCCCAGTGTTCAAACAGAGGCACGCAGATAAACGCCAGCCTCCATTGTCTAGGTTAATGTTGATTGTACAACGTCCTTCACATTATGTTGTCTGTTGATATACGCAGACTGTGTCTCGCAATGTAGGTGGTTATGTGAACGTAAAGGCGTCTTTTAAAAATAGCTAAAGTGGGGGAGTAAACAGCCTAGTTTGTCGGAGAGTCCCATGGCCGGCAGACACAAACAGAGCAAAAGTTTCGCAGACATTCTTCGCTAAATCGAGATGCTTGCCTCACAAATTCGTGTTGTGACTTAGTTTCAGTAGGTTGCGGAAGACGCATTCTGGGTTCCTCAAAATTTGGTAGGCCATTATCGAGTCGCCAGGTAGGCGCCGATACCGGTCGCCTTACAAGATAAGAATCCTAAGTCTAAGTTTATATAAAAAGTGAAACAACTCTTTGAAGTGCTGGGTGGCTGTTCGCTGTGGAGTCTCGAGCGCTGCAAGATCCTGTTTGTGTCTGGGCTGTCGGATCTGGATAGCAGATGCTAAATGAGGCTTCACGTAGGTGTTGAACAGCTGCGAACAGACAGACGGATCAAACCTCACGAATGCCCTCCGTATTATGACAACCTACTGCTTCCAAGTCTTTAACGCCTTCCCTAATCGTTTTGAGCAGCCCATATCAGCCTGGTTTAATGCCCGAACGCCGCGATCCTGGATGACTGCATGCAGTTTATAGCCCCAAGCTTGGATATGTTGTTTGGCAGATGACGAATGTGGACCAACTTACACTTAGACGAATTGATTTGGAGCAGATAGTGGAATGGCCATTCATACGACCTGGCCAGGTTTCTTGACGAACGAATGCATTTCCACCGGATTTAATCCACACTAAATCTACCGCTGAATTAAGCACCTCGATACGGGACTGACGTGTGGGTGATTTGCAAAAGACATATGATTGGAAATTCACATATTTCGTGTCTTGCTTTGAGGCCTAATCGTGTGGACCTAGGAAATGCCAACTTACCGATCCATTTCAGTCTGTAGATTATCCGCTCGTTCTTGTAGAATGTGGACAAGATTTTGCATAAGTTCATTTTTGCTATGTAGATGGAATAGATGAGAAAGTAGCTCTCGCTCTCGTCGTTCTGCTTCCGTTCTCATCTCCGTATTATTATCCTCAAGATAAGTGACTCGTAACTGAGCCGTGCAGGCTTGTTCACGAGCTGCAGTCAGATCAGCTGTTACATCATCTGAGGGTAAAATGCAGGATGAACGCTAAATTACAACCGGTGGTTTCTCAGGAAATATCTGTGGCAACAAATGGGGCAACGGGATAAAAATCCCGTATCTAACAGATTCCGCAGGTTTGGTCGGAGTTACAATTTTAAAAACCACAGGAATACATGTGAATAATCAGGAATCACATCAACGAGAGTATATTAAAAGAGTATATTAAAAGCAAGGTTGCAGAAAGTGGACAGCGCCTTGCGAAAAAGTGCAACAAGTGATTATAGCTTGCGCTTATTCTGAAAGATGCTCGGGTAACTCACTCGCATGCACCGCTTTCTGCGCATTGACGTGGACTACGAATCAGAATGAGCTTAGTTACCGGAATACATTCCAGAATACAGCGTTGAGGTACCAAAGTGTAGAGAACTGCGCGTAGTGTGCAAGCAATATTTGGTAGATGGTTACCGTGGGGCGCAAGCAACAAAACTGGTAGAGAGTTCCAGGGTTTGCATACACGAATGGAAAGGTAAGTTGGCCCACAGCCTAGGTTACCGCATTAATGATTAACTTAAAAGTGATCACCAGTCAAATTAGTATTTAAACTGAGCTTGGAATGTTTGCGGTGCAAGCGACCGGAGCGCTCAGAGTTTTGTATTCACTCTTGACCTCTCCTCGTAGCTGCTGTTAGCGTCAACCAAATAATCCGGGTTTCTTCAGCCGTGGTTGGTACGCATTTGGTTTAGCAAAACCATTGGTACAACGTTGTACATAGATCGTTTGCAGAGCTACATTGCCATGGGAATTCGTACCCATGTAGGTGGTTAACTGACTGCAACCATAGTTTCCGAAACGATGGGCAAGCGTTCACGATACTTGCACGGACGAGGATAAGGAAATGTCTTCTGTCATGGAAATCGACCAATTGGGTATTCTAGTTGACTCACTGAGCCCTCATATTCGAGAAAAGTTACATGATGTTTTGTGCACAGGGAACCGATGCACAGTCGCTTGAATGTCCGTCGTGCGCAAAACTTACTTCGCAAAAACTACTCCATTATTCCCTGGGTAGAAGAATCAGCGCGCCTCCAACTACCGTCAACAGTGTTACCCTGGCACTTCGCCCTGGTGTCCCACTACCACGCAACCCTGACGACCTCAGTAAGGAGATATGCGGAAGCAGCAGAAGGAGGGACATGATGGAAATTTTAGTTGTCAGCACAAATACAACACTACGTTTCATACAACCTCGCACGAAAACAACCCGTAGCTATCGCGTGAATCTAAAGCACGGCAATATGGAGAGTTTTATTGTGCTTTTCTAATGATCGGAGAAAGGCAACATACGCAGCAAAGAAAGGTCCGTCATTATCAGCTTCATCACCATCATCACCATCATCATCATCATCATAATCATCATCAAAATACTTCAACGTTATCAAGTTCATCCGCATCATCATCCTCATCCTCCTCCTCCTCCTCCAACTCCTACTCCTCCTCCTCTTCCTCATCATCATCATCCTCATCATCCTCATCAGCATCATCATCATTAACACACATTGGCGGAGGATAAGTGGCACGCCCCAGCTGATGTGCCGGAACATAAAAGGGAAAATACGAAAAAGTACCTGCTACAGAAATGTTCAAACAGCAAATAATATAATGTTAAGTCGCACATGATGCATTTCGTTTGAGACTAGTTTGAAGGGTACTCCGTATGGTTTTGATGGACAAAGAAACACAACACAAAGGAATTGCGGCCCGCTCTTCGCCAGAAAGTGTAACCAATCAAACCTGCTCATGGTCTTGGGACCCCTGCCTGGAAGTCGGAAGGCGCCAACCGACGCCAAATTCGAAGTGAGGGTTTTAGCTTGGAAACGATATCCAACACTCCGCTGGAGCAGTGCGAGTGGTGCTCCGTAAATTACTTAGCCAAGTACGGATTGCGACTGGCAATCCAGTGCCCTCCAAGCAGAATAACGCAATTTTTGCTTAAAGGTAAACAGGCACGAGTAGCACACGCTTACGCCAAAACAGCTTCCTTGACTTTATTTGTTTTTCTAGAGAACCCGCCTGTACAAGGTCACTTAGTGTTAGTTTGCTTAACTGATCTTTGCGGATGCGGTAATGCCGACCGACACAATCTATTCACCGTGAGCAATTGTGATGAAATACCTAAACATGTACGAGTCGTTCAGAAAGATGGGTTGGTGATTGTAACTGCGAGGAACGACCAGCACTGCGATCGTGTAAGGACACCGGAATCCATTATCGTTGCTGCGCCGAAGGTGTCAGAGCAACGGTTGAAGAGGTAGAGGGTGTGCAAGTGAAAACGATCCCATTTAGTATGGAAATATGCGATAAACCTTGATGGTTCAGTCAATTACCTAACCATTTGTCTAGAAAGTTACTCATTGGTTTCACCTTTATACTGTGAGTGGAGTCAGGACAAGGGGATCAAGACAGTTATCATCAACCCCACTAGATTACAGCCATCTAGGTGTTACGAAAGACCAACCCTGAGCTGCTGCAGTTATATCCTTTGGAATTGTCATAAACAGGAAGCAATGAGAGAATCTTTAAGCGTGTGCATAACCGGTTTCTATTAGATCAATTCACCAAATTCCTGGGACAGGAAACCGAATAAACAGACTGTCCGTGAATTTACTACTTTCATTTCCGCCATCCTATGGGATGTGTTAAAGGATTGATATTTTTACAGGTTAAATATCGTTGTTCCACTTCAGAAAGTCTCCAAAGTACAGCTTGAGATCCTTTCTCTAAATACCGCATGTGGGTAAGTGCAAACTGTCCAAGAAACATCTAACACGCTTAGACATCAGTTAGCTTGTACTTTCCGGAATGCAGAGCCATCTCATATCATTCTCACACAGATCACGTCAACACCAGAAATTAGTCCCAGCTCCTTCACAGCTGCGGATGTGCTGAAGCATCTGATGTTACTATGCGAGATTAGCTCACCTGGTCCTGATAACATACGACCCAAGTGATGCTGGTAGCTGCCGCAAACTTAGCTGAACCGTTATTTCAGATTTTCCGGCACTGTCTCGACGAAATTCAGGTTTCAACTATTTCGAAGCGTCGAATAGTCACTCCAGTTTATAACATAGGCAATCGTGCTGTGCCCGTCAATGCAACCCGAGTACACTTTTCATGTGCACGCTAAAGTCACGAAATCTGTTGTTGCAACAGCCCTCATGGGGTATCTAGATATCGGTGCAAAAACAGCATGTATTCCGCCAAAACAGTCCAAGTTCCGCGAATCCATTTTAGCCCATGCTCGGGAAGGAGTCGCTGTGGCCAAGTTTGATTTCTCGAAGGCATTTAATTGCCTAGCTCAGCGGATTCATGTCCACAAGTTTTTGAGCTAAGGGATCTACGACCCGATTCTGAACCGGATACGTTCATTCTCACCCCAATGCCGCTTAAATGTGTGAGTTCATAGCACCCTGTGCGACCCGATGGAGGTGCAGTGTGGCGTCTCTCAATGCTCGGTAATAGGACAACCGTTAACCTTCGTGTTTCTGATCGACATCACGAGACTGTTGTTGCCGAACTTTCTACTCTTTGCGGAGGATCCCAAGAGATAGTGGGCAATCAGACGATAAGTCAGCCAAACATCACTGTAAAGTGATCTATGCAAGGCTTACAAGTGGTTGATCCAAAACCGGCTAGAGTTCCACCGGGTCAAGTGCGAAACATTGAGCATACGCCACAAGAGCCCCTGCCAATATCAGCAAGAACACGTCCTGCAGTGCGCTTCGCATGAAACTTATCTCGAGGTGCTCGTACAGGATGATCTCGGCTGCTCAAAGCAGGCCGAGATTGCAGTGAAAAAGTCAGCCAACACTTGGGCCTGTTGTGGAGGGCGCTTTGCCGGTTTGATCCTAATTTCTTTTCGCAAATACTCAACGCGTTTGTGCGACCACACGTTCAGTACGCCATTCAGCTTTGGCAACCCTGACAATGCATAAGCTCCCTGCACTTGAGAAGCCACAACGGAGGGCGACAAAATGTGAAGGGATTGCTCTAATTCCCTTGACAGTTAAAACTACAGACTCTAGGAGCTTTTAACAAACAATATCCTCTTCTGCGAGGTGATCTCCTATTTGTGTATCAGATCCTCAAGGACTCTAAACACCCATGCCGACACTTGTTTAAATTCAGTCATAACATCTTACTGGGAGGACACCAATTGAAGTTGGTGACGCTGTAGAGCCGATTGGATTGCCACCGGAAACTTTTCTCCATTCATGTATCCCAGCAGTGGAGCTTAATTCCGCATTATGCCATTTTCGTTCCTAGGTTATCTGAATTCAAAACTCGACTTGATGATACATTACGTCACCCACGTTACATGATTTAACCCAATTACCTAGGACACCTGTCAATGTAACCAAACTAAGTGCACATGTGAAATTTGCGAGGAATCCTCAGCTATGCTTGATTTTTCTTGATGCGTTCACGTACTGTTCGCAGCCATAACCTATACAAATTGTTAAGCGTCTTTTATTCGTAATAAATGAATTGTTCCGTTGTTATTATGCACCCGATTCGCTTCTGCAGGCTTCATATTAGTCGCACTTTACTAACTTACTCTATCGTTCAGTTGCTTACTATGTACGCTGGTCAATTCCATGAGAATCAGGGTGACAGTTGATTGTAGATCTGCAATTCGGTTGGTTCCTGAATTGTGGTCATTGACGCATACAATCCTTCTTGATGGCAAGAGGGATACTTGAATCAATCAGTTCCAGCTCCACAACATACTCCGCTTTCTGACATAAGCGTTCACTAATAGCGCGGATGGGATTTGCAGGGTGTGATGTGTTGTTTCACTCTAGTGATGGTCACTGCCACCCCATAGTACTGGACGCTATGATCGTTAAACCCAACGTTTACCTCATCATGCGGGATATGCAGCGATGCTTTGAAGCCAATTTTCCTAGCTAATGCGGTCACAGATTCCTTAAACCTGCAGCTTTGATGAACCATTTAGCGCAGCAGATCATCACGCACATACAATTGATCAATTAGTCCGGGCTGAAACACATCCTGGGTGATACGCAGGATAGCGCATGACTTCGATTCCGTACCTCATTCACATTTCTATGATACCTTTCTCCAAAATTGCCTGTGCCTGAAGAATTGGCATGCAATTGAACTGCACATATACTTTTGTGTGGAATCAGTCCAAATATTGGTAAGAATTTAACGTACAGTGCTGCTATCCTCTATTCAGTCTCTTCATTGCTGCTCATATCAACACACTTGGTCGAAGTAAAATCGGAAATTATTAGCAATTGTCTAGTCAATGCTGTATGCTGAATGCTCAAGCTTATTACTTCTTGAATTGGGTTGTACCAATGCATTTACCAACACTACATGAGTTGATTAGTTACTTCAAAGCCGTTGTGTCCAGCTTGGCTGATTTTTCTGATTCTCGGTTGAGTCCGCGAAAATAAAAATTTGTCCGTCTGTTTAATTTACTTGTGTCAACTAATACTGTTTGCATTTTCCAGGCCTAGATCTAGTTATTCTTTCATTTTCTTCTTAAACAATGAACAATTCGGCCAGCGTACGCCTTCTACCGTTTACGATCATGTGGATAAAAGGGACTTGTCACTAAATTCGAGTACTAGTAGAATACGGTATTCTTTCACCTCTGGAATCGCCGGTCACCCGTCAATAGGCCGCTGTTACTTACATCGAGTGATTTCGGGGGCCAAGCAATCATTGAACTAGTTGCAGGTATCAATGCCTTGTACACGGATGTGCTCTTTATTTTTCTCTATTTGGTTGTGTGATTTTCCCACCCATATGCCGTCCCTCTGGGCACATTGTAGGCAGAAGTTTAAGTACTGCCAGAGGTTCTTCCATGACGGACGGGGAAATTGTATCATCAAGTACATCAGAACTAAATTCAATTGTCCGCTACTTTACTAGACATGTGATAAACCGCCTAAATAAGTCGATTATGCTAGACTCAACGTATAGGTTTAAAACCCCTTACTAATCCACCGTTACCAATTCTAAATGATAACGCATTGAGCAAATTTACTTGAAGTTATTTCATTGCAATGTTCATACTTTGTTTGGTCTCTTGAACAGGATTGGAAGTGACTCAAATATCTTATGTTAAGTGAGTTTTCAAACCGTACTGAAACCACGATTCCTCGACTGCTTACATAAGCTTATGCCGCTTAGTAGGATCATCACACTGACACGTTGCCGACCATTTGCCACAAAACCAGAAAAACACCCCATTGTTTATGCTTCTTCCAAAAACAGTCAGAAATGAGCAGTCAAAAATCCGACTAGGGTGCAAAACCACGAAGCCAGATAAAAACTGTTTTCATTGAACCAGACGCAATATGGTAAAATGGCCACTAATCAGTGAGCTACAGGGGATGACACTGCCTGTTAGTGGCACCACCCATCTCGTAACTTACTGATTCCAACACAGTACTAAGCCGCTTGCTAAGTTCAGTTATACGAGCAAAAGTCCAAGAGAATATCTTTACACCGGAATAAGGTACTGTTGGTCGGAGTGACTGGAACCCGCTATGTCCTGTCTCAAACTGGAATTAAGTTGCGCCACCGAAACCCACAGAAAGTGGTCATACCCTTTCCGCTTATACAGTGCATGAACGCAAATGTCTATTGGTAAAAATATCAGTTAGCAACCACGTGGTCTAAGTCCGATTCACATCATCGACGGTCTGCAGTAAAAGTGACCATAAACAAGTCAAAATAGCCGTCGCGCATTGTGGCATTCCTCAAGCACGCTACTACACATTGGCCCAGTTATGGTCCTTTCAATCTCACTTACCAGTTTGTTGGACACCGTATACCAACGATTCTGTTATTCACTAACCTTATATATTTATATATATTTGCAGATGAAATAGAAATTTCAATATGGTTCAGTAAGTTCCATCAACAGAAACAATTTCAACTTTCGTATTATCTCGTCAGTACCAATACAATAACAGGGAAATAATTTTATATATCTTACAGGGCACAGTCAAGCCAGTCAAATTTATGGTTGTAGTCACTGTTGTTGCGATTAGGGCCACGGCAACCGCAGGTTGACAACTAATTGCTTTTGGACACACAAAGATGCTCTAATTCGGCTTATCGCGACGGCCTCAGCAAATCGTAAAAGGCCTTTACGATTTGCTGAGGCCGTCGTGATAAGCCGAATTAGACCAGCTTTGTGTGTCCAAAAGCAATTAGTTGTCAACCTGCGGTTGCCGTGGCCCTAATCGCAACAACAGTGACTACAACCATAAATTTGACTGGCTTGACTGTGCCCTGTAAGATATATAAAATTATTTCCCTGTTATTGTATTGGTACTGACGAGATAACACAAAATGCTAGCATCTGCCAATATTCGTCTTCTCATTTCGTTGTTCAAACTATTGAAGGGAACTAACAGTTTTAAATTTCAACTTTCATTCTTTAAGGAAGTAGGTCCAAATCGGTCATTAGGATAATTAGTGTTAGACGGTGTTTGTTGCCTCAGCTCTGCTAACATCAAATGTGGGAAACTAAGCAGCACAAGGGAAGTGATTGTGCAGAAATTGTCTTCGTATTCAATACTTTATGAGCTTGAAACGATGGACAAATTTTCCTAGGTGCATTGCTTTGCGCACAACAGTTTTAACGGTGGAATACCAGGTCAGCAATCCAGAGTGTTTTCGTAAGCCATAGTTACTAGCAACGAAAGTTGTACATTGTATCTTCTGGGTAGGACCCTAAGGCCACTGCAGTTACCGTTTGATGCCAAGTCTAGAGAAGAGCATACCTTCGATTTTACTTCGCCCATCAACGGTTATCCTTAGCTAAAAGATCATGCTTTGCTGTATGGCAAATGTATGGGCCTTATAGTCGCAAAGTGCAATTAGAACAATGCTCACCCAGTTCCTCTTCCAAAGTTTTCACTTCTTGTGCTAACACTTCGCGGCTGAGATGCGGAGAAGTGTTGCCCTTCTCTCTTTCCCTTCGTGCTTTCTGCTCCGTTTTCTTTCCGTCCGCACGTAGTTTGGTGTTTTCATCCTGCAGCTCAGTAATGCGCTTCTTTGCTCTGAAAAGCTACATATGTCGATAGGAGAGATATGTTGTAGATTTGTACTTCTGATGGTGCAGGTGCTAGGCAGAATAGAAACGGTTCATATTGCCTTTATGTAACAACAATAAGAGCAATTGCTAGTGAACCCCCGCAGGTTTTTGTTGAATAACGAACTACTGATAGCTAGTACACCATCGATGGCACTAAACGAAATTCAGCGTTGGGGTGCTTAACTTCGTCCAGCTTATTCACTTTCAACGCTGTTGCTCACATACATAAATTGTCTTCTATTGGGTACAAAAGTTAATGTTATATATGCTGGGCTAAAATAAACTATGAAATACTGACCAGTGTAGTATAGTAAGCAAACCTCGCATATGAAAGTCGTATTCACTGTAATTTTGTCGAAAACGGATGTTATAGTAGACCAAATCAGTATCCATCGGTCACGTACATCAATATACTACTAAACGCAATTACTTTTGCACTGAACCGTCAAATAATTTCCAAAAACACTGGATTACCGCTCATATTCTGGTTCGCCACCCGTGCGTTCTCCACCTCGTGAGAAATTTTATAAGCATTTCAGTGTGAAAGTTTTCTACAGCAGCTCCGGAAAACATGAGGATCAGCTGTGCTTAATGCTGCGGACCACAAAGACAACCGGTCGTAAAGTTCCGTGATCACAGCTTGTCACATCTTACTCTCGTGATGCCCACTAAGATCGCTCCGAACGCTCGTACGCTACAGGAACACAAGTACAGTAAGGATATGAAACTAGTGGAACATTATTAAAATGGACAAGCGGTTATTATACTTGAACAGTGAGTTGCTTTAACAAACCTAAAGCAGTTGTTCTTAGCTCGTGAGACGCTAATGCGAGGGACTTGGTCACTAGGGTTTCTAAATGTTTCCCTTTCCCTAGTCGGCACTAGCCTATACATCGGATGGGTCCGTGTTGCAGAGTGTACGCCCGTCTTCCATCACATAACACGAAGAGTCATCTTCGCTCCTCCCACTTCGGAATAAATTGAGTGCTTGAAGAGTAAACTAGCAATTGGGGATGAAGAGGAGTTCGGCATCTAAATGGAACAGCAACAAGTAGTCTGTGGTTCCGATCCATGTGAAAGCCACATGGCTAACATTGTTCATGGTGGTATACATTGCGAAAGGTGGTGTTTTTCTTTCGCCTTCTTATCATTGCTATAAATACACAACATGACGTTCCCATGATTGCAACGTTTTCAGTAAAAAGAGTAGTTACAAATATATTAATATCATTTCGCAGAGTTTGTACACATTGACCGAGAATTAGTTCTGAAGTGTATAGTACTTTAATTAGGCAGATGAAATGTTTGAGGGTTAAACTTGGCAAATTGCGAATCTGCGGTACCTTAGTAATTAAGAGACATTTACTAAACATCGATCAACAGGCTGATTTTGACGCATCACCCACGATCCGTGAGAGTCCCACGTTCCCACTTTCTTTGGGGCCATTGTTATCGATCGGCAGCAGTCACCGCACTGCATACAAGAACTGTTTAGAGTGACGCCGTAGTGCCGTGGTAACAGAAAGTGTATGACGACTACAATCACCCATCAGTTCATTGGACGGGAACCTGATGTTCCAGTTTTTGAGTACGGATTGCATGCGATTAGGGTGGTTAAACGCGATGATGACTTCATCTCACAACTTACGTTCTCTGACACATTAAATAAAAATTCCTCACAATTAGGCTTAGTCAGACAGCTAGTACGCGCCCGAAAAAGCACAGTACAGTCGTTTCCTTCTTACAGTTAGATTTATAAACGGGACTATCAGTCTGATATATTGGCTCGACTAAACGTGGCCGTTTGTCCATTACAACTTGAGTAAGAGCATTACGTTGAGTTGCGGCTTAAACGCTAATGTCAAAGCCGGGCATACATTGACATCAGGTGAAATAAACTCGGCGTGTGTCACATTACTTATACACCATTGCCAACGGTGCCATTCCGTAGTCCGAAGATGTATTTGCAGAGTTGATAGACTTATATCTTTACTAGCCGCTGCTCAGTAGTACTGTTATATAGAATATACTACTACAGCCACTAATCTGATATTGATTTCATTTAATAATCACATCTTTTATGGTATGCATTAATTCAGACACTGTTATCCATCAGTTTCGAAGTGTGTGTGCCGTTTTCTTAGACTCATGAAAACCCACGCATTTGTAGCTACGAGAGTGTTTCGTGGCATAGCGACAAAAAGGAAGAGGCTTAGCGATATAACACTGCAAACAGGAAGTTAACACGAGAGTAGTGCAGGGACAGCAGATATGGTGCTTAAAGTATAACGTTAGGAAAGAGGACGCAAGCGCGTTATGTGTGCTATTAACTCCGCTTCGGTCATTGGTTTCTGAGTTCAACCAATAAATTGCACCAAAATCCCACCACTCATTTTTAGCCAAAAATCTGTCCGTATAGTTTTAAAGTGTTGTGTCATACATGGTTGCCATGCGAAAAATCGTAGCCCTGGGGCCATCCACTGTTCTATGCACAGTTCGTAACTGGCACGGCAATGGAGGATGAGCAGCGCTATTTCGTGCTCAACTGTCGGCCATTCAAGTCCGCCGCCGTCATCCAAAATTTAGTGGCACAAGCTGTTCGCATCCGGAAGCCATGGTGTTGACATGCGCTCTCAAAATGCTGAAGTTAGACTGCTCGGCGATCAAGACCCTACTTACATGAAGGATGAAACGCCAAATATGTGTTACAGAACATTGCAGAAAGGTCCAGTAACGGGTTCGGTGTCTGCCTCCTTGGTCCTGCATCTCATCCCACCCATCCGGTAAGCCATCCTACTCTGGCTAAGCAGTCATGATGGTGGCATTCAAACTGTTCCCCTTCCCAAGCTCTAGCAAGCCGTTCAGTCAAACGGCTTCCTCATATCATCGAGTCAGCCCATGTTCTTACATCTTGGTCAGGGATTCATTTGCACAGCGCTGGTAGAGCGATTCTGAAGCTTTGTCTGTAGCCACCATAGGGTCGTAACCTGGGAAGGGTCCGAGGAACGAGACCCAGTGTATCGAACAAGCTTTACCCGGAGTGTGGGAGCTTACCTGACCTGAAGGGACTGCGACGAGCTTCAAATAAAATTGTATCCTAATCCCCACTACACAGTAGTGGGGAAAAGTATGTCACTTCGGTTGTAATGGGAAAGAGCTGACATTTGTGGATAGACCAACCAATAGGTTTTCACGGCCGGGTAAACGAGCTAGACTAACAAGCGTCGTCATTAAACATGTTATGAAAAAAACGTGTAGAGTGAGGTTGGTGCGCACCTGCGTCTGTGTAGCACAGAAGCAACCTACGATTCGACAAGGCATTCGTTAGCAAGTGGAGCGAATAATCGGGTACTGGTTTTTGCTTCCTTCATTTTAGAGATACCATCAATCACGCGACAGAACATCTTTTCCTACTTGGAGAAATTTGGCGTTTCACATTTCTTGTGTTCATTTAGTCACACCATGATAGATTAGATACTGTTTCTCACAGAACGAGAGAAACATTATAAATGCTAAGTGTAAACAATCTTAAACATTTGACTCGATACTCCACGTGTACCCACACAGTGCTTTCAACGAATGCACACAAAAGACCATATGGATGTTGAAATGTTTGCTGGTTAGGGAAATCTTACATCTACCGAAAGTGAACAGGAGCAGACACAAAAGGCACAGTTTCAACCTGGTTTTGTCACCGACACCGGAAGCAACATGCTGACATTTGTCAGCCATTCTCACGCCCCCTGTTAACTGAGGGTTTAATATCTGTCGCTCTTCTCGTTTGACCGAACACTCAGGAACACTGAGTCACTGCAGACGACATCACTGATTGTGACCAGGTGTCAAAAATCATGACCCCGCCAACACCGCTAGGAGTGTTTCCTATATTAAAGGGACAAGGGTGGTCGCAGTTGACTCAATGTTTTTGTCCTGCCGCAGACCGCGTATGTGGATGACGTTTAACCACTAATCGAAGGTGTTATGTGGCTGTGTGTCCTAGTAACCTATGCTTAAATTCACAGTTTTGGGTGCAGCGTGAATCGCCGGAGAGGATGGTGGAGTTGATTGTTTAATTGCTTCTCGGAACAAAAGAGCACAAATCGCAATCCACCGGTTTGTCTAGAAGGGCCGCTGATGTTGGCTTTGAAATAAAGGCAATGTCAAACTTGAGCTGAATCCATGAACTGGTCGTTCTCGTTGTCATCATAGTGTGATACAATCTGGTCTGATGGAAATTGATTTGAGTTCATTCGGTCGACAGCCTTTCAAATATGGAAGAGGAACTCTAGTAACGCATTTACAAGACATTTCCTATTCGTCGGGTGTGCAAACCAGCAAACTCATTACTCCGTTCCGGAGGCGTGCTTGAGTAATACTAACCTATCTCGGGACGGTCACATGACTCCTTGTCCTACCCAGTATTGTAAGTACTACCGAATTGCATAGGCGTAATCATTATCAACTGAACTGAACTGAATTCATTTCACACCATATAGTCCACTAAAATTCAAACAATGATACGCAATGGAGCAGGTGATACAGCTTACTTTGCTAAGCGCAGGAAACTGAGGCACATACCTGAGACTCTTGCTCCTTGATTGTCTCCTTGGCATCGTTATACTTCTCGATCCATTCATTGTCTCTTTCAATAGACCCTACCAGCACTATCTCACGACTGAGTGCACGTAACTTTCTATCCAATTCTTTCAATTTTCGCTTTAGTGTATCATTTTCCTGAAGTAAATTTTCCATGTCGGTTCCAGTCTCTTGGTCTGGTCTGCTGTCCGATTCGTTTAATCTCAACCGTTTATTCTCCCCCTGCAGCTGATCACGCTCCAGTTCTATGCGTGCCAAATGGTCTTGGATCAAATTGAGTTGATTGCGAAGATTTTCCAATTCTTGCGCATCTAAGTGAGGGTGACAAACGCACGATTTTTTGTTAGTGGTCTGTGTTGGAGACAGGTAAATGATTAAATAGCTTGTTTCATAACTGTGCTAAACGGTCTAGGTGTTTTTTCCGATCCAATTCTACAACAGTATTGCAAATAAAAATGGCTGTCTAAGTAGTCAAGCAAGTGATTAAGGAAGTATGATGTCCGTCGGATCAAGCTTCTAAAAAGAACTCTACCAAACAACCAGCACTTATCAACGCATCGCGATCTTTAGTATCGCAGCTGTCTAGAACAGTCAAGTCGCTGTGAAACTGCTTGGGAAGCATCATGCCCATTAATAAATTGCCGAACAGCTTGTTCTTCTTAATTTTTGTACAAATTTATCACATCAACCGACATGGTAGTGTCCTACTCTGTGGCGAGACGTGATATCTGTTTATCTATTTTGTCATTATGTCTATTCTCTTTTTTAGTCTTTGTCATTTTGTTCTTTCCATCCGTTTTTCCTTGTTGGTCACGACGACACTGTCCGAACATCCAAATCCATACTCTTATGTGTTGTTGCTTGGGATTTGGGAAACGTTGATCGACCTCCAGCCACAGAATGTGCACGACTGCATACCAGAGGTCCATGCAATTCTGCAAAGGAACATTGGCCAATCGAATCGTACCCAGTTTTAACCTCGTTGGAACTTCTCAACAGTTTTATAGAGCCATGAAATACGACGTATGTACAGCTAATTTCAGAATTACACAGTTGTAACAATATGTAGAGCGACCATTCTAAGAGGTTCTGCCTCTTTCATCCGGTACGGCCCAACATCAATGATCTAAGCATACGAAAAGTCCACGATGCTATTTGCGGTGTTGAATCCTCCAACTGCTACAAATCACAAGTAATCTTAACCGAAATGACGACAGTAGGATGGTTTACTTAGAGCTTTACTTTGATTTCCTGATGTGCATAAGTATGGATGAGCAAGCAATTGCAATCTGATTCACAGGTAAATCGAGTTTAACTAAAGGAACGTTTATTCCATGTAATCCAGTTTTGAATTGCCTACCGCTTTAAGAGAAAGCGTCAAAGGAGCTCGTCAATTTATTGATGGCAAGGTTGGGCGGTAGCTATTACGCCCCAGAATTTATTCCGAGGTTGGGCCATTCCCATCTGAAGAGCACAAGCAAGGTAAAATCCATCGGGTAGTGCAGTTTTACCAGCGGATAGCGCTTAAAATGTAGTTTTTACTGTAGCATGATTTTAATACTAAAACACTCAACCTTTGGACAGTGCGGTAGGAAGACGAATGCTGGTGGACGCATGTGTTTCGTATTGTCTTCCCAGTTATCTTAACAATAACCTAGGTGGGAATACATGCCTAAATATGGGTGCGACCAAACAAGCGGAAACGGTTGCAATAAATCGAATGTAGCCAGTTATGCGTCCAGAAGCAATCATTGGTCAGCCCAAGACTGCCTTAGGCATACGGCTGGCAACTACGTCATTCGCTTTGCACTTGAGACCTGTTTGGTCGCACCCATATTTACGTATATAATTGCATTTCAGTTACTTTAATGGTTATATAAACAACAATGCGAAACACGAAATGCATCTGCAAGCTTTTGTTTCCCTACCGCACTTTTCAAATTGCTGAAAGAAACGAATTACTTCAACTTTTTCAAATAACCAAGGCTTCTCTCGCACAAATTGCAACTTAGATTTCAGAGCGTGTGTTCTAGTACTCTCAAAGTACTCTCAAAACTTGAGGCGCTTAAATGCGATTACTCGGATTTCGTTTTCCAAAAATACAGTTGCATAGAGGAAAGACTTGGCTACTGAAATATTTAACACGCTGTATGTGCACCGTATGTTAGCTTGCAATTAGTGCTACTGATGACTGGTTGCGCGTCATTTTAAATATGGGTATCCGAAAGGCTTCACTAGCAGTGTTGCCTAATTCAACATTTGTTTGCATCCGCTTTGGAGAGATCCGAAATAAAACGTTGGTCACAGCGAGGTACAAAGTGTCAATAAACTGCTTACTGAAAGCGCAACTCATCCCTTCCGCTCTCTCTCATGAACAAAGTATCATTGGAAAAGCAAGCTCAAGCCCAAAGAGGGCCTGGCTGAGCTGATGAAGTGAGTTCTTATCTGCTGTTTCAAACCGTATTAAGTATTTCATAAAATGTTACCGCGCACAGCCGTCATGCAACCCAGCGTGAATCTAGTAGATCAAAGGTAACAAGCAGGATCACGACTGTATTAATTACCTCGAGGATCCGCGTAAATTGAAGTGGAAAAGAAGGCAACAACGACAACAAACGGTAGAAATACTGGAAATTCTGGTTGCATAACGTGAAGATGAGGCAGTACGCATTCATCGAATCTGGCTTGGACTGATAATCATCGAGCATTTGTTATTCTAGAGCTAAACTTGTCACATTGTGACCATATGGACAGTACTGTGATATTCTCAAGGACAAGCTTAATGTTACCAATTACCGTGGTCCGATTTGCATTCTTGCCTCGATTAATGCCGTAGACATATTGGTTTTGCCTCAGAATCCAGTCAGTGATTCCTATGGTAGAATGACTATAAATTTTGTGTTGAGGTCTTGCACCAATCAATGAAGTGGAGGGTCAACTTGATCTAATGTGTTATGGTATCGGATATCTTAATATTCCAAAACCCCACACGTACATCTGCATTTCATCTGTAGTTACTCACCTGAAGATGCATCAGATGTGAAGCGACCCTTCGTCTGATTCAGTGCGGACGTCTCGTTCATCCCTATAAGCTGATTGTACTGGGCCGCGTCACGTGACTGCAATATCAAAATATTATTCCCGTTCAAAAGACAGTTGAAGAGCAACAAGTGCTTTGGATGTTAAAAGAATAAAACAGAACCCCAAAGAAGGAGTAAACCAAAGTGCAAGCGATCCTCTAATATGGATACTAGGAACGGCACTGTTAGTTTTAGCAAGAAACTGATGCTGAAACTTCCACCGTATGGTCTAGTTAAAGTAATCAGATAACTGCCACACAGTTGATAGCGAAGACAAGTTTAACTGCCCCTAGTTTGTTCCCGCTGAGGTGCTGCTTCGTGTGTACTTAAAACATAATTCACGATCTTCAACGTAAATGTCACCAAGCACGAAGTTTCACAGAGCTGGAAAGCCCTGTCGCCCCTGCACACTATCAACTCGGGTGCGTTAGCCACCAGTTAGCGTCCACTGCTTTGAACCCCTCATTGTACTGTACTTTATTCTTTAGTTGAACACGTTTGAATAGTCATTCCACATCACAGGGGATAAGTGAAAATGACGTTTCACTGTGTTTATTGACATACTGCGCCAGTTGCACCAATGTTGCCACTGGCCTGATAGAGGGAAAAGAACAACCTGCAATTGGGAAAAGGCTGTACACAGTTTTGGCACTCAGCAACATAGCATTAAAATACCGACCCATTACACTTCGTAATGAATATAGTAAACTTGCAAGTACCTCATATATGGTTGGGCAATGATAAAATTGAGGATAGACCTAAGGTAGTAAGCGTGCGCGATCATTATTTTACGAAAGTTAGTAAACTATAATTGCTGACCAAACAGTTTTTAAAGTAAATTCAATAAACAAGAATTAAATTAAAAAGTCCTCCTACTCATTAGTAATTAAATTGTTGTTACCGTTAGGAGCAACTAGTTAAACATATCAAAAACTCAACCTAGAAACTAAAGATATGAACTAACCAGAGAAAGGGCCTTGAGCAGTTCTCCCTATCCACACTCAGGCGTATGCTAGAGAGGCTGAGCATGGATGCTCCAAAGAGTTGCTGCATACGACGCAAAGCAAGCGCTATTAGTATCTAGAGGTGAAGTCGCCTATTTTATACGAAGGAGGTAAAATGTGATCAGTACGTACTTACTTGTGAGGCGAAAAATCGTTCTATCTTTTTAGTTAGCATATCATTCTCAGCGCGTAATTCTTTCATCCTCCTTTTCGATTTCCGGATCTCTTCTTCAGCAAAGCGCAGTTGCTCAGACAAATCGGCCTCCCTCTCTCTGGATGAGTCGAGCTCCCGTTGAAGTTGTTGCTCTTCGAATGATGCTTCTCTAGAGAGTGAGGGACGTGAACTGGTGTTCCGGGCCTGCAAAATATCAATGTCATCAATGTTTTATGCACGGTGGAAGGAAAGTTTTATTTAAGCAAGTTATTGCATGATAGAAGTCATATCCCACATTGGCGCAGCTGAACATGCCGCTTAAATCTGCCGTGTAAGTGTCGTGTGCATAGCCTTTGTTCCGCTATTCATCTACGTAGCAAAAGCCCCAGAAACTGAAGGTCGCAGCATTGACTTATCGAGCACGCTTGGTTTATAGACTCAAGAGCCAATTGATGTATTCAAGCATCTCTGGTGGCGTTTTCTGACATGGTTTAAATCTTCACTAAATGAAAGCGCAAAAGGTGAGGATATTCACCCTGTTTTTGTCCGTCACTTGTAAGGGTCCTTTGTCCGAAATTCCCTTTTCGACTTTGAGCTTCTCAGTCTGAAAAGGTCAAGGAAAAAGTCAAAACCTTTACAACGTTAACAGATTGGACAGACAAAACAAGCGCAGATTATGGTAAGCTGCAACATGCTGCACGATCGCAAAGCACATAAAAAGCAGCTAGTCTAATGATTTACAGAAATCGCATGGCTGATTGTTTAACGCTGTTTGTAGCAGCCCAATACCCAATCAATCCAATCTGGAATCGTAAGACTAGCTGTTCACTGTTGTAGGCGCACTGAAGAGCCGCATCCATTAGGCATAAAACAAAAAAGCGTTTGGATTAAAAATATTAACTATGCCGTCCTAATTATTTTGCAGATATAAGAAAAAATTGTCGCATTTTTATTATCAACATACGAATATTTGTCTTAGTTACGTTACTGGTTTAACTCAAGTCAGCAATGCGGGTGAACTGCAGAAAGTAGCAAGCGGTATTTCAGGTTGAGCCGAGAAACAAAAGCCAGCTGATGTTTGAGTCGTTGCTTGGTTTCCAAGACTATGTTAGCAAACAAGTAAACATACACTGTGCCGAGCTATTACCTGAATTTCAGTCACCCAAGTTAGATGGGGAAGGATGATGATACTCCTGAGGGCTGAAAATGGACAGCATTTCCTGCAATACAAAAGCGGTGAATCTGTCGTTCACGTTTAGCTGTTGATGTACTATGACCCGTAGTTCATTAATTACTCATGGGTAGCAGGACTGTAAATGTAATGTTTCAAGGCATTCATCTCAGGAGTGCACACGCTACATAGCAGATGCTAGTCCGGACAATCCCCAGACGTGTTTCGCCCTATTGTGGCTCGTCAGTGGTGCGCATTCCTTCGGTTTCCTACTGGGGATCGAACCCATGAGCGCTATGGGGCAGATGCCAACTAGCCAGCAGCTTAATCCACTGAGCCATGGGGGACTTTAGATGGACTACATAATTTGCAAACTAACTGGGTTTTAGCAACACCAATGTTCCATTGTTACTGACAGTGGCTAGCCTTCCAGGTGATGATGTCGTCTCGCTAGACGCTGTATCCATAGCATCTGAAACTAGGATAGACTATCTATTTTTATATTGGTATAGGTAGCAGGATTTTAGATGTAATCCTTTAAGGCATTAAGTATTTAATTTTCCTAGTACAATACGTTATTATTTGCCTACTCGCTATCATCAAGTACTTAGATCGTTGTACTAAGGTGCCCGTGCATGCATAATGTATAGCACATTGCAGTTACTATCAATGCATAGCGAATAACACGAATTCCAACCCAAAATTACTTAGCCCGTAAACTTGTGAGGTACGGTGAACGAATTTCGGCGGCAAATTTCTAGCAGTTAGCTAAATATATGTAAGGTATTTGGTTGTATCATCATCGACTCCGGATAATGTAGTGGTTCAACTAATTGTTTCATTGATACTGGATGTGTAAAGCTGTCTTACGGTAGTGCCAGATTCTCGACTGCAAAATCTGCTTGTGAATTCCTCCGAACATGAGTACTAAAAAATCGTAAATATAAGACCAAATAAAAAGCAGGTTCATGTATTTTCATATATATTATAAAAGTCAGGAAATTGTTATTAGTGCGGTTCATCCCCATCCGACGTCGCGTAATCATTTTTGATTCAGTAATCATGCACCTCGGGCGTTTCCATAGCTACAATAGGCAAAGAAAGTATATCCAAGGTATTTCCCGGGAGTAGGATGGAGAGTAGCGTCAAGTAACAAAATGTAAGTGGCGGAGTGCGTCATGTAACTGACTTTTCAATATGACTAGCGTGGGTGCTGAGACAACAGATTGGGGGAGAGCATTCCATGGCTGACAAACACGAATGGATAAGAAGTTTCTACGGCACCTCAGGCGGTTGTATTGTTCTGCCAATTTCAAGGAGTAGCCTCTAAGTTTGGTGTTACTGCTGAGTTGCAGTAAAGAGCGGCACACGTGATTGGGATTGTGTAAAATCAAGTCGGCTCGCAGTCGGCGATACCGCCCGCTGAATACTCCCAAACGTTCCAGACTCTGCTCGTAAGGAAGGTGGCGCATCCCAGTGACGTATTTAGAAGCCCGACGTTTAGGTTGGTTCAGTGCAGTAAAGTCGTGCTTCAGCCATGGTTGCCGTTCTTGGATTGCTTATTCGACATGGGGACGAACATATGCATTTAGCATTTGTCTGAAAATAGTGGTGTCTAGTTGTCCGAATGCCCGTCGTAGCAAGTCGACGTACTGGTTACCAGTTTTCGAGGCATTTGCTGATTGCTTGGAGCAACCCAAGTTATCAAGAACAAACACGCCAAGGTCACGTTCGACGGATGACCGCTGCAGGACTTGCGTTTCTAGTTTGTAGGAGTGGGTACCCTGGTGTCGTATGGAGAGAACCTTGCATTTGTCCACGTTGAACTGTAACAGATTTCGGGTTGACCAAGCATGTGCCTTGAGCATTTGTATTAAGGCAGGATAATTTTTCGGTCCCTAGAAGCCCACAGGGAGCCAAAGGAGTCAAGTTTAGTAGAATGCTGACGGGTGCAAGGTCAGCCGTTATTCATTTTTGTTGGGACGGTGATGACACGCCGTTCACAAACTGATTTGGCCATTCCTCGCCTGGATCTGCTGCAGAATCGCGTGACGGAGCGGTAAAGTGATGCTCGTGCGTAATCGCTGGTAGGATTGCTTTTTCAGGTAGACTCATGTCTGGTATTCGCAAGGATTCAGCAGCTTGTAACCGAAGTGCAGATGGAAGACTTTTACGATGTCTCCGCCAAAGTTCTAACACTTCCGTTGCTGCCTGCTCTGACTGCACCAGGAGTTTTAGGATCCTTGATCCGCTTCCTTTATAATCTGGTGAGAGGTTGCCTTTTGAGCGATCGCGCCACAAAGCTGCCCAAGGAAGGTGTTTCACGAATGAATCAGTACTGTTCCAAATCGTGATTACCAGCCTAATGACTATCGTGGGAAGGAAGTTTTGGTACGCCATGAATAAAGATGGTGCTTAGATAATCCCGATTACTATGTCCATCTGTGATGTTTCTTTTCCATTGTCGCGTGCTCCAAGGGACCTCAGGATAGATGCGTACCTCACAAGTCCCGTGTTGTAGCGCACTTAGAGAGAGTAAAATGTTTTCTACATCAATAACTGATTCTAAGGTTACCCTAATAATTCTGGGTTCGCCATAATGTGCAGAGTTCGGGTGACGAGTAATTCTCACTAAGTTTGTGGGTTTGACTGTTACCTTCATTGAAATGCACAGTGAGTTCCACTGGTCTTGGTCGTCAGCTAATCCACCCCGCAATCTGATGGCGGTAGATGCGGGGACATTGGCGCAAACAATAGTCAGGGAGGTATTAATGGAGCCCATTTTTGTTGAACTGCAAGGTCGGATGACCGTTGGACCTAGAATTATGCCAAGTAATGATGGCTCAATGTTTGTCGCTCTATTGGCGTTAGCGGTGTGTGTAACAGAGGAGACACTAAAGGTTGCATTCCGAGGGACTTCTGGAACAATATCCGCATATGTGACTGGAGTCTCAGGGGATTTGAACTCGACCGGAGAACATATTAAGTTACAGATGTAGTAGACTCGTGTGCGGCTGTTCCATTCTTATTAATGATGCAAGTTGTCAAGATCGGTTGAATTTGATCGATCACGCGTTTCGTGTGGTGCCTGATTTTCGAGGCCCTGAGTACCGCTTATCCATCAGAGCTACGGTCAATTTTCGCCTAGCATTCTTCCAAAATTGAACAAGATAACGACAAAGGGGGACCTTATCAATTGTGGCCCGAGCGAAGCAAATATTACATAAATGCTTCTCTTTGAAACCACAGAGAACTATGTGTTAACCTAAAACTAGCTAAGCAGATATGCAGTGTTAAGGTATCTCCACTTCGTTATCAAAACATGACCACAAACAGCCGGCAATCGTGAGAAGACTAGGCTGTATCGGTGAGCCATTTTTTGCGGCTTTCACTGTTTCTTGCCATGATCACATTCACCATACGAATAATCGGGCTTCCAACATATTTTAAACTGGCCAGTTGATCGGACGACAGGAAGCAGAAAATTGGTGACGTCTGTCAAACATGTCCTTTACACTCTCGAGCGAAGAACAGGGTGAGTACTTGGAATCTCGGAATGAACTAACAGTCGTTAGTACTTTCCTTCCTAAATTCCGAATAAAATGTTGTCTCTGTCTAGTCACGTTATACCCAGTATCCATGGTCAACGCAAACCTTCCTTAGACAAGTAGTGCTCGGGTATACACAGTACGCGTCCAAGCTATCGTAAACTCTCCAATATAATTTCATGTTCTGCTCGATGCGCGCAGCCGAATAATAGACACCTTGGGGCATGCGACAAGAACAATACTCTCTTGGTAATCATAATGAAGGTTTTAAATCTGCCTCAGTTGCTTGGACAGAAGCGCCAAATTTTCAACTCTGAACAGTCAATCACTGCCGCCATGCACACAATACCTTAACAATGAACAATGAACAATGATTTATCACGGGATAAAAGCAAGTGCTTGACACGTCCCGTAGGATGGTTGAGGTGAATATGATAAAATCAAAATATGTCTGGGTCATCTATCGAACGTCTGCCGATATGAATAGTTTGATAAGCAACATCAGTGTAAAATTAAAATAAATTATCGGGCGGAAACATGCAGAAAGACACTGGGGTGCAGTGATCATTGAGGTAAAGAGTGAGAAAAGTAAAATATGGTTGCTCACTTAGGTCCATTTGATACATAAAGCCTGTAGAAATCCATTCTTGGCGTAATCCACAGTAGGGGAATTTAGGTAACAAAATGTTGGGAGCTAAGAGCGACATCTAATCGTTTTTTGAAAACATCCAGGGTATGAGAGGATACAACTGAGTCAGGAAGTGCGTTCCAAGGTTTGCAAACCCGAAGGGAAAAGTAATTCCGTCGACACTCTAGACGGCTGTATTGTTCCTTCAACTTTAGGCAGTTACCCCTGAGCTGCGTGTTGTGGCTACGTTTCAGCAA